CTGGGAGGTGCCTCCTGGAAGGGGGGGGCTGGGTCGCACTGCCCGGGGCGATTGCCCATTTCCTGTACTCAGTAACCCCACTCCTAAGCCCTCCACGGGCTCAAGCCTTTAATACGGGGCTGCTCAACCTTGGAAGGCCCGGGGGCCACAATGATACTCACAGCACATCCATGGGCCACAACTTCAGTGTGTGGCGTGTACATGCAAATATATACCAATAGGTTCTTTCGCATTAATGGGCATTAATGGAAAGCTCTTCCCACAATGCGCTGGTGCTTCCAGCACCTCCTCCCTGGGAGCTAGAAACACCAACCCCCTGTACCCGTCTGTTCTAGCCAGCCTGTCTGCTTGCATCTTTCAGTGTTCCCCTCCGCCTGGGAGACGCCTCGCTGTTGTGGAGCGTGTTCCCTATGGAGGCCATGTTCAAAGGATCCCACCCGCAGGCTGCGTGTTGAGCCCCATGTAAACCCAAACTGCACCACAGGCCACAAACCAATGGGCTGCGGGCCACATGTGGCCCATAGGCCACGTGTTGAGTAGCCTTGCTTTACTACATGATCTGTTGTGCTGTATTTATAAAACCTGGTTGCTAGGAATCTTCCCACTATTCTGTACCCAGAAACGCATCCTGTAAACTCAACAGTTTTTGATAGAGGCTGATAAGTGCAGCATATTTTTATGTAAATGCTTTAACAGATTATAATAAGCTTAGGCTCTAATATTTTGTATTCAATTCAGGTGTTATTTAAACAGGCTTATTTTTTTAAAGAGAAAAACAACTTACATACATTCTTTTGCAGTTCAAGCTATTAAAATGGGTATCCACTTTGGAAACTTGGAGAGAGTGAGGCATGTGATCACTTACAGCTTGTCTCCATTCGAGCAGAGGGCATTCCCTAACTACTTCTCTAAAGGAATTCCCAATATGTGGCGGCGAGTTCACTCACGGATCTACAGGGTAGCACCTCGTAAGTTCTAATTCCTTTGAATTATTTAAACTAGTACCTCCTGAACTGGCTTGTATACCACAAGTACTGAATCCATTAGCACCTGAGGTAAATTAAAGATGTTGATTGGTGTTCAAGGATGTTTACAAAAAACCTTATTTTAACATGTAACTGCTGTATCTTTCAGCAGTTACATATTTACACCTGGGAAGCAGCCTCCTCCACATTCTGTGCAAGGCAGCACAGGGGTGGAGGCTGCATTTAACAATGCAGGCTAACTATGTACATGGTTACATGTTCACATCCCTAGTGTTTCTGTATCTGTTTTAAAAGCTTATAAAATAACCATTCCCTGCCCAAAAGTATGGAATTTCATATTAAAACTTTAGAAGCAGCTTTTAAATGTAGGGAGTAAAACCATCATCAAAACTACAAAATGTATGAGAATTCATGGGGCAGGTGTGCTACATAGAGAGATGAAAATGTTCTAGATATGGGAGTAGCAGCTGTCATGGGTGGATATAAGTGCAGAGGAACGGACTGAGGAAGAGATCTTTACACACCATAGGCAGTGGTCACCAACCAGTAGATCAGAATCTATTGGTACATCTTGGAGCTTCTGATGGGTGACCCTGACTGGTTTGGCCAAGAGGCTATCAAGTGCTGGCAGTTTGGCTGTCCCCTCCCGCCACTGCTGTGTATCTCCTGTCCTTTGCCTTGGAGCTGCCCCTACTCCCTGGGAACCTCCTACTTTCTGTGCAGGAAGGGAGGGGAGGGGGTGCTGATGTCAGGGTGCCCCCTCTTCCACTCTGTGTCCTAGCTCCACACAGGGGAGGTGGGGGGGAGGCACAACAGGACTTGAAAGTTTGCTGGCTGCTTTTGAGAGTGGTTCAGGGCCAGGACAGGTAGCCCCATTGTACCACCATATAGGAGCCACCTGAGGTAAGCAGTGTCCAGCTTGAGCCAGCTCCAAATCCCCTCCTGAACCCCAGTTCCCTGGACCCAAACACCTTTATGGAGACTGTACCCTGAATCTCCTCCTGCACCCCATCTCCCTGCCTCAAGCTCAGCTCAGAGCCCCTCTCACACTACAAATCCCTTAGCCCAAGACCAGAGCCTGTGCCCCAATCCTCTGCCCCCCAGCGTGGTGAAAAGGAGGGAGGATGGAGTGAGCAGGGGCAGAGCTTCAGAAGGGGCACAAAGGAGGCAGGACAAGAGTTTTTGGGTTTGAGGTAAATCCTGGATTGCGCTTAAATTCAAAAAGTGATCTTGCATTAAAAAAGGTTGGAGACCTCTGCCTCCTGGCCATTCATAATACACATAATTGCCTGCAAATCAAGGTTCCCATAATAAAATAATGGCAGAATGCAAATACTCATCAGGATGATTTTTAGCCCCTTAACTCTTACTGTGTTGGCAAGGACTCAGACCTAAAGAGAATCAGCTTAAAACATATCTACACTGTATCACTACCAGAATCTAGCCCAGTACTGTAATCAATACAGCATAATGCAAGAGATTTTCATGTTGTAACTACTGTAATGTAACCTGTAAATATTCACTGCTTTTGTTTTTTTGTTAAGCTTTTGTGTTGGCCTATGTTGTTTACACCTGGGGCAATGAAGAATTTGAGCGACTGAAAAGGAAGAACCCTGCTGACTTTGCAAATGACGAGTAATACTGCTTATATGGAGAGCTCAGTGTATTAATGTCAGTTTCCTTCTTTGTTTCTAAACTTGCTCACAAACACACACACAAGGATATTTATAGCAGGCTGTGAAAGCTTGTTAAATAAACTTCAGTTTCCACCTTGCTCTGTCATGTGGAATTTTTTTTTACTGCTTTAGATCAGCCTATTGGCCTCATCTCACTCAATGGATAGAGCTGAGGCTTCCGGAGAGATTTAAATTCTGCAGAATTTAAATTTTAATTTTAAGAGCCTCTAGTCTTTATAAAGATGTTCCAGACACACTGAATGTAACTGATGTGGTGTTGTCTTCAGGTGGACAACACGAAACAGTAAACTCAAAGATGAGCTCCAAACACCCTATATTTTTTGTGTGACACAGTTGACTTTAATGGGATTGAAGTCTTATATATATGTATCATTTTCTAAAGGAGAGGCATGAAAAGAAACAGCCAAAATTGGTGGTGGTAAAACAGTATTTCCCACTAAGTAGAACTTAATGAAACTTTGAATAGACTGTATGATTGAATTATTACAAAGAACCACCTTCTACCTCTCCTCTATTTGCAAACCTATTGCCAGTAGCAGAGAGAGCTGGTGTAGCTCATGGACAGTTCGCAGTCCTAAATCTGTAGCCCTGTCAGTGGACCATATTCAAGATGGAATTTAACCCTATTGGAGAGGTCCTCAAAGTGTGGAGTGTACCCCACCAGGAGTGGATGGAGGATTGTCCAAAGGGGTGTGGTGCCCAGCCTCTCCCTATCCCTAGTTCTGCTCCAGTCTTACCTACAGCCATAGTTTAGCTCCTAGCCCCAGCAGCACTCTGTTCCCAGTTGTGTGATAGCCAGTAGCCATACCTCCGTTCCCAACCTAGGGCTAACAGCAGGGGCAAAGTCAGGAATGAAACAGCACCTGACTCCAGACTCAGCTGCCAGCCCTGTATGCAGTCCAGCCACAGAACCTGCCTTGGCCTCTTTACCAGTTTCCATGTTTCCCTCTTCCCCTAAGCTGTGACTCTGCTCCTAAAGGGCATGGATGGGTAAGGAGACTGATGCCCTATTCCAGGGGTGGTCAATCGGCGGCTCGCGAGCTGCATGCGGCTCTCAAAGTACACCCTGATATTCATGAAGCCACCCCTGTGCCCCTACAAAGGGCCCCAGCCCCTGGGTTCACTGGGTACAGGGGAGCTGTCTGGCATGGCAAAGCAAAATGGTGGGAGCCTGATGTGGCCAAAAAAGACAAACCAGAGTTTTCACTTAAAGGGGCAATGTCTTCTCTTACTCAACCACTGTTTTGGCTCTTTGCCTGTAACAGGTTGACCACCCGTACCCTATTCTGAAAATTGCACCATGAAGGCTGGCTCTTGTATGACATGTCCAACTCATTGGCCAATGGAGATTGGGTAGTAATGTTTCCAAGACAAAACACAACTTACCAATTCAGGGATGGTCCCTCTACAAATGTAAGAGTAAAATTAATTTCCTAAGCAATACTTAGGCTACATCTACACTGCAGGCTTCTTGCGCAAGAACCATTTTGTGCAAGAGTTATTGTGCAAAAGGTCTTGTGCAAGTGTGTCCACATGGTCATGTGCTTTTGTGCAAGAGCATCCATGGCAGTGTGAATGCTCTCTTGTGCAAGAAAGCTTTGATGGCCATTTTAGCCATAGGGGTTTCTTGCGCAAGAAACCTGTTGCCCATCCACACTGCTGCCTTGCGCAAGAAGGCTTATTCCTCACGGGGAGAGGAATAACTTGCACAAGCAGCCCTCTGTTCTGACACCTTACTGTAAATTTACTTGCGCAAGAACGCATGTACAGTGTAGATGCTCTGCAAGGTTTTGCACAAGAACAGCTGTTCTTGCAGAAGAAGCCTGCGGTGCAGATGTAACCTTAAGGTATCATCACAATATATCCTGTATGTAATGGCTGTTGTAAAGCTATGTTTATAGCCAAGGTCTTTACCAGATTGTCTCTAAACTAAAAAGTAATCAGAATCTAGTTTATTTTAGGGGCATTCTCAACACAGGCTGTGCCAGACATGGTAAAAGGGCCTCACCAAACAACTAGTTCCAACTGTTTTTCTGCTTTGGCTTGAATTACCCTTTACCTAGAGGATGAAAAGCAACCTTCTGCCATACTGTGCCTTAGGCAGCTGAGAGAATGTGCATGGAGTGTCCCTAGTGGAGAGTGATAGAAATGTAGCCGTGTTAGTCTGGGGTAGTTGAAGCAAAATGCAGGACAATGTAGCACTTTAAAGACTAATAAGATGGTTTATTAGATGATGAGCTTTCGTGGGCCAGACCCACTTCCTCAGATCAAATAGTGGAAGAAAGTAGTCACAACCATATATACCAAAGGATACAATTAAAAAAAAATAAACAAATAAGAAAAGGACAAATCACATTGCAGAACAGAAGGGGGATGCGGGGGGGTGGGAAGGGGGAGGAAGGAAGGTAAGTGTCTGTGAATTGCTGATATTAAAGGTAGGGAGAGTGGGATGTTTGTGAGTTAATGGTATTACAGGTGATAATTGGGGAAACTGTCTTGGTAATGGGTGAGAAAGTTCAAAGACTTGTTAAGTCCCTGGTGGTAAGTGTCGAATTTTAACATGAATGACAGTTCAGAGGATTCCCTTTCAAGTGCAGATGTAAAAGGTCTTTGTAGCAGAATGCAGGTGGCTAAGTCATTTAGAGAGTGTCCTTTCTGGTTAAAGTGGCAAGAAACTGTTTTCTCTTTGTGATCTTGTCTGATATCTGTTTTGTGGGCATTAATCCTTTGGCGAAGTGTCTGAGATGTTTGTCCAATGTACATAGCAGACGGACACTTTCGGCACATGATAGCATAGATTATATTTCTGGAGAGATGCAGTGAAATTCTTTTCTTGGAATGCATATTGTCTTTGTGACAACTATCACTGTGCTCACAGGGTTGGCTTTTTAAAAAGAGAGACAGTGGACATGGAAAGAGCAGATTTTGCCCCTCATATACCCCACTGGCTGGCACTTAAAGGAATCAAAAGATAAATTGGCATGTGGTTTACCGTTTCGTTAACAGAACTGTAAGAACACTGACTGCACCTAATACGTTAATAGCTTGGTATTTATCATAGTGAAGAAGCTGGTGCTGCTTTGTCTGGAATGAATCAGCTTCATATTAAGTGTTGGCCAAACACATAGAAAATCCTGAAAATGATGCAAACAACCTCTCAGTTTTACATCACCATGTTGGCTACTATTATAGCCTGTGCTGCTGAAAAATTAGTTCTCTTGCTCTTTGATTTTGGGTTTGAGTTAAATTTTATTCCTTGTGGAATTCTGCAGAACTGCACCCCCACAGAACCTCACCCTCTCACAATCAGGGAAGCTGCAAAAGGAGGCCATGGGCTCAGTTTTAGGGACATGGGACACAGAGGGTTATGTGCCACTGCTGCTCTCCCTTCTAATTTCTGTAACTGTACAGCTGCCCAGCTGAATGAGGCCATGTCTGGGTTCTGCTGGCTACAGCCTCCAGACCCTAGTGCCAGTGCTGGGAGCCTTTGGGTAAGAGAAATGGGGGCTGTGGGGAGAAGAGGCAGTGGGGAAAAAGGAGGATGGAATAAGGCAGGGGAAGGGGAATAGGAGATTGGCATGGGGCAGGGGGAAAAAAGGGAATGGAGGAAGGGGGAGTGACACACAGCAGCTAGGGCTTCTGTTAAGCAGACCCTTTACCTGACCAACCTTAATCCCCCACATTGGACACACCAATAAACCACAGACCCCTACCCATCAAGCCCCACTTCCCCCACAATCAGCCCCACTTAAGCCTCCCCTGCTGAGCCCCAATCACCTTCATCTGGACCCCCAGCAAAATCTCATTGTCTCTGCAATCAGAAACCAGCTCCAGTGCATCTAGATGTTCAAAGAAACCTCACACCACAGCCGGATTCCCCTTTGGCTCCTGCTGAGCTGAGTCTAACCATTCACAGCTGATGGGGAGGGAGAGGGGGAGAGAACAGATCCAGCGTGTTTCTGGAGCAGGCACACCACTTGCATGATGTCAGGGTTAGGTGCAGCCTCACTGCCAAGTCCCAGTACTGGGGAAAGTGGGTGATCTCTCACCTAAGTGCAGCTAGTGGCCTGTGCACCTCATGCCAATATTAGAGCCAACTTTATTTACAAAATTGCACAATTTTAATATATTGTGCAATTATTTTTAACAGAATTCCCTCGGGGCACTGAAAATAGCTACAATGTCTAAGCCCCCATGACAAAATAGTGGTAAGCAATAGCTTTTGTATTAGTAAGCTTAGTGGCAAAACTCAAAGGAAGACTTCCTAATACTAGACTGCAGTATAAAGGTTTTACTGAAAAGACAGGCTTCCTTTTCAAGCTTTCAGCAATTTCAGGAGCCCTTATTTTTCACCCTCCCTCCTTCAACAAACTCATCAGTTTCAAAGCCTAAACAACAGGCTCCTCTTTCTACAAGTAAAACTGGTGAAAAGTGTAAAACAGCCTCTTTTTCATACAATGCTCTAGAGTGTGATTTTAGTGAACAAGCAGTCTAGTCTTTGTATCAGTTCCCATAATGGATGTCAGGGAAAGACTGTTTCTACAAGCTGGGACACACCAGTATTCTTTCTGCTGCAGGCCAAAGCACTGCTACTGCATTTGCTTTGCCAAGCCTAGGACTATTTCAAGCTCTGAGGGGCTATTGAGCTAAACTATGGGAAAATAGCCGCATTCTGATGCAATGCATCTCCATCCTGCTCATAGAGTCCCACTAATCCTTCATCCCACACTTAGGATATGGATACTTTGTTAATCCTCTGGTAAACAATTCCAGCTGAGTGACCACCCACAACTGTCCTTTCATCACAGGGCAGAGGAAGCTGCCATTACCTTAATTTTACCTGTTCTGGAAATAAAGACAGCTGGTTGACTTCCACCGCTATAATGCCCACCAGAAGAAATAGAAGCTGGGATTTGCATGAACAAGCTAATAAAGAGACTGCTGCTTGCTAAACTGGTTTCCCAAGAAGGGGCAGTTAGGTTTATACAACACAGGCTTTTAAAGTCCACTACAGACAAATTAACTACAGGTTGTATCTCCCTAAACCAGGTCTTTCTCATCCGGCATGTTGCTGAAT